TTATAGCTGGTGACAGTGACACAAATGTTCCAGCGAGCAATTATTAGCTCTGCAAAGCTCTTCAAGTGGTCATCAACTATCTTAAGATGTAGGCCTAATCATGCATTTGTTGTTAGCCACTTCTATTCATCCTATAACACATTTGTTACTTTAAACGTGCATCAGGTATCTCATCAGACAAGGTGTTTTACTGTATGGCTAGGCCTACTAAGGTACAGAGTTTTCTGAAGTAGACTCTAAAGATGGATTCATTGGTCCAAGAAACCAACTTGACAAGTGAAGTAGTCCTAAGTATGATTGACCGAAAAAACATGAACAAAAATGAAAATATAGGTGAATAGCTTTATATTATTTTTCTTGGTCGAAATGAATAAGACTTAATCAATTTATACACGCTTTATTATACACGTGAACGCACAATATGCTTTATACAAGCAGCCTATTGTACAGTAGTAGTCCATTGTAATTTCGAATAGCAGCAATGGAATTATACAACTAAACCATTTGCAATTCATCCATACTTCACAAGTTTATCAGCGTTGATATTTATTTTTTGACAGAATCATATTTACAAATTCGGTTTGTTATCGAATCTAATAATCTGCGAATCGATCGTCATATGTTTTTACTATCCTAATACGTGTAGATGAATATGGATAATAATAAGTTACCCTAACCTAATACTGTATTATTGTTATTATTATTATTATTATTATTATTATTAAATAAATTGATCAGTCAATTTATAAATGAGACTTACCTGGTTTCTGTAATATCACTTCCTTTGAGCCAGCTGAATGTTCCACGGCACATTGGAAAGTCTTCTTCTCATCCCAGTCTGATCTCTTCACGAGGAGCTGACTGACTCCCATGTACTTTTCACCGGTCTGGACAACCGGGTACTGGACAAAGTCAGTCAAGGCATTCTCGTCGGTGTCCTTCCATTTGAAGGTGAGGGAGGCAGGCGTAAAGCCGGTGGCAATACAACCTAGAGTCAGCATATCTCCGGCCCCGGAGCCACATTGCATCAGAGGGAACAGGGTCGGGGCAGTTGGGGAGGCTGTAAGAGAAATTACGTGTTACAAATAGTCCATAAAGTCCATCAAACTTTTGTTTCCCCTCTCAATATTGGGGATGACATTTAGGCCTAATCAATACATTTTCTGCATGGTAGATTACTAGTCTATGGCAACCCTTGTAGCCTTCAAGAATATAGGCTACATTATGAAAATAATAAATACAAATAAATACATAACAAAACAAAATAAATAACAGTTCTAAGGACCTATTCCATTGTACAAACATAATATTTTATTTTGTCTTAACTTTATTTAGCATTCCTTAGTAGGCCAAATATGTGATTTATTAAGAGACTATGAATGTGTTAGGATAGGATATTATTTATCCCCAAACTGTATCAAAAGTGTTATCAGAAACGCCTGTACAGAACTGATATAAGGCAGGTAGGTAGGACTGTATTTACTTTTTTGATTGATTAAATATCTATCCTTATATTTAAGAGATCAGTATCCAATCTAAACAATGCTTTGCCATCTAACAAAATGTGATTCTTACCTGATGAAACGGTTACCGTTGTTCCCTGACCCCAGTAGTCGAAAGCACCGTAGCACAGTGTTCAATGAACTTAGCTAGTGATATAAAAACGCAGTCTCCCTAGGCTTTATACCCTTTTATTCCCAACCAAAAATATATAGTCTATATTGCACTTTTAAAGCTTTGTTTTAAAATTACATGAATTCTTTTTAGTTGTTTTTGGCCAGATGATAAATATATTTCTTTGTTATAGCGTACCATTACTATTATTGATCCACAATTCAATTGAGCAAATTTAGCCTAGAATCGAGTTTTAATAACCTAGATCTATTTGACTATTTGAAAACTCACTTTCACATTTGATGAAATCATAATCATTTTCTTACCTGATGAAACGGTAACCATTGTGCCTTTTCCCCAGTAGTCAAAAGCATAGTCACAATGCAATCTTTCAATACGTGCAACGCACAAAAACTAACGCAAGCTAAGACCAAAAATACATCTTTCAAGCATTTCGGAGAGACTTTTGAATCAAAGTCAAACCTCGATAATAATGCAAAAATAAACAGAATATATATATATATTTTTTACCTGTGGACACGGTCACCATGGTCTCTTTCCCCCAGTAGTCAAAGTAGTTGTCACAGTGAATGGTCTGACCAATACTTAGTACAAAACAATAAAATCACTTTTTTCAGGTCTGAATGTTAAGGCTACTTACCAGAAGTTACCGTGACTTGGGTTCCTTTCCCCCAGTAGTCAAAATAGTCATCACAGTGATAATTGTATATCTGCCCCTAAACTAAAAACCCAACTCATTTCAAACTTAATGCTTCATTAACTTTATTTTGTGGCATCTTGATGATTCGCTCCTTCCCTGGGGAGACACACTTCCCATCAAAACGGAAGTGTTGCACAAAGTTAACTTTGACTGAAAGAGTGTGAGTTTTCTTCCTGTCCTTCTTTTTGATAGTGAGCCCCTGGGTTCTCTATCTTTATTTATGTTGTGAATGTTGATGAATGGGAAGCATCTTGAGCATCATCCTGATAGTTTAGTTATTTATCCTGATAGGGCTATTTCATACCAGATAGGTGCGACGCACAGGACCTACAATCAGTGCTCAAAATCTCTGTCCGTGTTTCACACTGTTGCTGATAGTTGGTCGTGAATGGTGGCCGTATTTCCCGATTTGACATGAAGAATCTTGGTTGGCGGTCAACGCAAACAGTTAGACGAAAACCATCTTTGGCTGACCAGTGCTTTGCGAGGCTGGTCATGGCCCACATCAAGGCCAGGATGCGAGACACACTGGACCCACTCCTATTTGCTTACCACTCCAACAGATCCACTCAAGATGCCATCTCCATTGTAATCCATACGGCTCTTTCAAACCTGGACAAGAGGAACACCTATGTGAGAATGCTGTTCATTGAATGCAGTTCAGCATTCAATACCATTGCTCCCTCCAAGCTTGTCACCAAGCTCACGGCCCTGGGTCTGGACTCCACCCTTTGCAACAGGATCCTGGACTTCCTGACTGGCAGACCACAGACTACAACACCTGAGGATTGGCAACAACACCTCCACTACACTGACTCTCAACAAAACCTCTACTGCAATGACTCTCAACAACACCTCCACTACACTGACTCTCAACAACACATCCACTACACTGAATGTCAACAACACCTCCACTACACTGACTGTCAACAACACCTCCACTACACTGACTGGCAACAACACCTCCACTACACTGACTGGCAACAACACCTCCACTACACTGACTGGCAACAACACCTCCACTACACTGACTGGCAACAACACCTCCACTACACTGACTGGCAACAACACCTCCACTACACTGACTGTCAACAATACCTCCACTACACTGACTGTCAAAAACACCTCCACCACACTGACTCTTAATAACACCTCCACCACACTGACTCAACACGAGGGCCCCACAGGGAGGTGTGCTCAGCCCACTGCTGTACCTCCTGTTCACTCACGACTGCGCGGCCAGGCATGACACCAACTCCATCATCAAGTTTGCTGATAACACCAGGGTTGTAGGCCTGATCATCAACAATGATGAGACAGCCTATAGGGAGGAGGTAATATAACTTGCAGCGTGGTGCCAGGACAACAACCTCTTCCTCAACATCAGCAAAACGAAGGAGTTGATTGTTGACTTCAGGAAGCAGGGAGGAGGATACGCCGAATCCATATCAATGGGACTGCTGTGGAGAGTCAGTGACTTCAAATTCCTCTGTGTTCAAATCACAGAGAACCTGACATGGACCCACAACACCACCACTCTGGTCAAGGAGGAGCAACAGCGCCTCTACTTCCA